CGATTGCTGGCAACGGTTTTTCTTACACTCGTCAAATTATTTTTTGTCCATTGTTCATTGTCCTCTGTTCGACCATTTTCTTGGCATTCTCAAATTTCAGACTTTTTATATTCATTTTGAAATGATAATTCAAATCTCGCGGATTAAAATGGCCGATAAATAGTGCCATCTATAAAATTCAACGTCGGGACGTTACATGACGGGTAATCGATAATTTTGGCGTCTGCGCCCTAGATGTCGACTTGATTCCTTGGCGCCTAATTTGAATTTTCACTTAAACGAATTCTATGGCGGTTTGTTAGGATTCCCGAGGATATTAAGAATAACGTTGACGTAAAGGGGAAATTACGATCCTCCTGTTACACCTTAATCTCAATTAGGAGGGGAGAAGTGAATTTTTAATTACCGGGCGAATGGTGAATAGTCAGTGTGCGCCGCGAAAAAATTCTTCTTCTTACTGGCCCCTGACTTTCATGGCAGTTTTTAATTTTTTGTTACAAAGATTAAGGGATGAAAGAGGGTTAATTAATGAAGAATTTAATTCTCCGTCGAACTGCTCTTTTTTCATCCCTTAATCTCAATTAGGAGGGGAGAAGTGAATTTTTAATTCGCGAGCGAATGGTGAAAAGTCACTGTGCGCCGAGAACAAAATTATTTTTCTCACTGGCCCATGACTTTGTCGTAGTTTGTATTTTTCTGTTACAGAGATTAAGGGATGCAACGGGGATCGATTGATGGGGAATTTAATTCTCCATCACACCCTCTGTGTTTCATTCCTTAATATTAATTAGCCAGCAAATGAATCACCTGAAAAACATTAAGAACATGCTGAGGACGAGGAGGATACGGATTCCACTCCGAAACTATCCCTGTGACAGCGGGACTGCTACTACCGAGTTACCCGCACAGGCAGTTCGCTCAGCCGTCAGATTCGACCGTGGCGGCATCCCTCCGTTGGGGTCGAACTACTTTTGGCTTGGGGTCAGTCTAACCCCGAGATCTGAGCCTCTACTTTAGTCAATCCTCTTTGA